TATATATATATATATATATATATTTCTCTTCTTCTTGTCAAAAGCCCACTTTTTTTTTTTTCTTTAAACTCCCAGTGGAGCATAAGGCCACAACAACACCTCGCCAACGGAAGGTGTTGTTGCAGTTACTTGTAGCAGGTTGGTTTTTGCGGGGTGGAGTTGCTAGCCCCGTGCCCAACCCTCCTCCTTTCTCATCCTTGACTTGGGACTACGCAAAGGCGGAGGTTGGCATGTTTGGTGTGATGGGGATTCGAACCCGCCACCCTCAGATTACGAGTCAAGCGCCCTAACCACCTGGCCATGCCGGGCCCAAAAGTCCACTTAGGCCTATTCAATTACTTTAGAATTTCAGTTGACAAGTTGAACTATCTTCTTTATATTACTATCATACTAGTAATCTCTGTGTGATTCACTTACAGCAGTGGTACAAGTTACTGTAATTTGTTTGGTCTTCTTTCTTCTGAAGATCCTCTCTTCCTTTCGTCAAAGTGTACCGAGGCTGATTCAATTACTTTAGAACCACTCTTTGACAGAAAAAAATTATCCTCCTTATCTTTTTTTATACTGTTAGTTTCACTCTAACATATTGAACGTTAGGCCTATCACATCTACAGTACTTAACTTCACACAACTATATTCTCTTTTGTTATTATCTGTCTATTGTTGTCTGTCTACTGCTTCCTGCTTGTCTCACGCTATTTATATCTTTATTACATAGTCGTCTGGCCACTTTCTATATTCTCAACACCAATTAGTTATTAACAAAACCTTCTACAATCGTCTGTTTTTAACTCTTATTATACCCAAACTTAAAAATAATAAAATATTCATTCACAAATATAAATTAATCACTAATATTTAAACCAAGCAGTCTTTTATATCATGACATAAACCCCTCTTCAAGATAAAATATATAAAGTATTCTTTTTCTATATACAAAGACTGTTCTTAGTTCATATACAAAGTCTGCTCCAACATTTGTAGTTCCTTTATCTGTCTCTCCTAACATAGGGTCTCCAGTAGGACATCTCCTTAGCAGGATCCCACATCTTCATCTTGACTGTGTGTTGTCTGAGGTATGTATTTCCTAATCTATCTGTATGCTGACACAGTAGATTTTGTTCCTCTTCATATCCTTGTACGTCTCATCTCTACACAGTGCTCTTAGGCATAATAGGTTCTTATCTTCTAAGACAAAGTCACTGTCTTCTGGTTCTGCATCTATGATGGCCACACCTGCAACATCCATTTCTGTTTCAATAGCTGCACCCATTAGGTCTTTTTCTCTCCCAAAAATACTTCAACAGATTGGCATGGTAGATCTTGGTATTCACATTCACCTTGTAGTCCATTCTGTACTTCAAAAGGTCCTTTCCACTGCAGGATAAGTTTGTTGTGGTCTGTGGGCAGCAGAACTAAGACCTTTTGTCCAACTTTAAAATGTCAATCCTTGGCCTTCTTGTCATAAAAATATTTCCCTCTACGTAGAGCTGCATACAAACTGTTGAGCAAGTTGACAGGTTTCCTCCAGTCGGTTTCTCAGGTCTAACACATATTGGTGATTTTATAAGAAACAAATAATGAAATAGTCATGCCAAAAGAAGGAAGTGAGCAGAGAACTTTGAAAATGGCTTGACTAGATATGACCTGTTCACAGATGATAGAATGTAGAAAAGGAACACAAAAATACAACCAACAGTGGCTAAAAGATTTTACCTAGCTTAATTTTAACAATGTTAAAAAATTAATGTTGGTCCACTGATTTTTCCTGCATAAAAATTCTCTTCTGACATCAACCCTATATATCACATGGCAAAGTGTATAGAAATTATTCATCAAACCACTGATAGAATTATAAAACTAGCAGCCAAAGTGAGTTCCACTAATTACATAGAAATTTTAATAGGTGAAGACGCTGATGTCTTTGTCATGGAATGTCAGATTGTGTATGCCCAATTCTTTAAAGTTTGTAAATTGGCTTTCATGAAACAAAAGTTACTGCATTCACATGCAAAAGGTAAGTAAAATTATTCTCATATTTTCTGAGTGTATTTTATTTCTATAAACTAAAATTATGACTAGCAATTTTCTAAAATCATGCCACTAAGTTTGGATTAGCATTTTTGTTTTCAATCAACCAACTTAATATTTAAAATGCCCCTTTACTTTAAATAAATTAGTAAAATAGATTAACTGCTTATATACTACAAACAAATTTATATTTTTTAATTATTGTATGTATACTACTTACATATAAAAATATACATACAAAAAGAAAGAAAATTTTAGTTGGAAACACAGTTGTCCATGACATCCATTATTTTCATGCCCAAGTGCAATGTAAAAATGGAACAGGGGTTTGCAGGTGCTCAAATGCAAATAACAGTAATAATAGTATACAAGTAACATTTAAGAACTTCAATATTTTGTACTGCTGATTAAATATAAAAAAACAAAACAAAGTTCAATATGTACTACATGTTCCAAAATCTGCTTTTGAAGCTCTTGGTCCTGATGCAGCCTGTTGGATGGAAAAATTAAAAGCATAAAAAACAGTAACAGCACAACACCATAATAATGCACAAATAATTAAAGAATTACCAAAACATACAAGCTCATCATTGTCAGGAGGATTGAGGTTCACTAAGGGAAGTAGCATACTAAGGCATGAGTGGGGGTGGGGGGTGGATCAGGCATCTGTGTAATACATTGGATAGAAAAAAAATTCTAAGTAATAAAAAAAGGAGTTTTCCAACAGACAAAAGTCTCAAAACAAGGGTTTCCAGGTTGGCCTGTCCTTATTTACTTTTCATGAGTTTAGTACACTAATAAGTGAGAAGAACAAAGCAAGATATGACGTGAGCATGTTATATCTTGAATTTAGAACAGGTTCAACATTTTTGTATGGTGGGATACTTAAATAGTCTTTGAACAGGTACCAAAAATCCTACCCAGATGGGTGATTCAGGCGGGCATTTGGGTTCCCAAAAATTTCTGACCACTATCAACACAACAGTTTCTAACATGCAGAAGACAAAACAATATGAACCATGATGCCAAACAGCAATGTTATATTTATTTTTCTAGCAAAATCATATTTAAATCTGCCAATAATAAAGAGTTATGAATGTTTGGATAGAAAAATAAAAGAAAACAGTAAATGATATAGTTATAAATGAAAGATGAAAATGATGTTAAACCCAAAACTTTTTTGCAGCTATCGTGTATAATATAGCATAGGCCTGCAAAGTAGAGGCTACTGTATGTATTCTCACTATTCTGCATGAGGTTCTGAAATTAATCCAAACAACCATCTATCCATTTTTTAGCTTTTCAACAATTTTTAACAAGCACCGATATAGTGATCATGAAATTAATATCAAAGCATAAAGCTTCCAACTGTTTCTTCGATTGGATACTATTAACTTATTGATATTGGTAACCGGTAATAAAACAAAGTATTCTTTAATGGTTCACCCTGGCTGACTGTCATTACACAATACCCACACTGCATGGGCAATATTTGTACATGACAATGACATTTAGGTTATACATATGTACATTTATGTATGGATGTTACAGCATCTACAGCCACCTGTCATTATAACATACACCGATAGATTACAAAACTGCTGATTGCACCTGTGCTTTCAGAAAAGTTAGCACAAAGCTTACCTCAAATATTTCAACAACAAAACTTTGATAATTCCCTATTAAGTGTGCGAGTTTCTCACTTAAGTTGTAGTGAAGTGAAACAACGACTCTACAGCAGCAATCACCACATCCTAATACCTCAAATTATGATGAACAGCAACTAGCTGCAGTTGAAACAAGTTATACAAAAATGTCAAAAATTTTGGAAGATCACATTTGTTATTGATACAATAATTTACAGTATTTACTATTACAAATCACACAGTCATCAGTTTTGAAAGTTTCCTATGAGTGATAGGCCTCATTTCTGCCCTAGGATGTCGATCATGCCATGCTAAAAAATGCTGCTAACCATCAACTGACTTCATGTAGTGAATCAACCGATAATTATTTGACAAAGAAAAATTTTAAAATGGACTATTCAAAACTTGCCATTTACTTAATTGATTCTGTCTCCTATATTCATTATTGTCAATGGAAGAGGTAAAAGTTAGTATGGTATAAACAAATTTTGAGAGTATAATAAATGGTTGTATAACATGATTTACAAGGTACTTGAGGATTTTTGTACACTGTTAAACTTAAAGATCAATGAGTTATAAATCAATGTCACTGGCCCGCCACTAGAATTTATTCTGATTCTGTATCACTACGATTGCTTTCACTTTCATCTTCACTCTCTGTGTCATGATTTTTTTTGCTTACTGTTTTCTCTTAAAAATAATAGTTTGTCTGCAGTTCTGTTTACATTACTCTCATATAAACTACCACTTGCCAAAACATTTTTTATTATTATTTCAATATATTACTATACTATATTAGATTTTTGTTTTTTTTTTTGCTAAATCATTGTAAATCTTAAGGATAAATACACACAATTTATCACCCAGATTGACTTAAAAATAGACTTTAAGCAGCTTATACTTTATACATATGCAATATGTTTTATGCACACTGAGTTAGAGAATAAAAAAATATTACAGCTGTATAATAGATATGAAAAACAAAATATTTAAATTCAAAGTTTTCTCTTGGTAACCTGGGAAGTAGAAGTATTTATCTAAATGGATCCCCTTGCACTGATGTTTAACTCTTTTGAGATGGGTCACAGGTGAAAGGCCATGTCATCTCATTTGTTGACTGCATTCAAAAGTTTATTGAACTACTATTTCATGAATTTATGTCAACAAGTTTGGTATCAAACTGTAGATTATAATTCAAATTTTAGAACTATACAATACTCAGTTTGTTAATTTAAAAGTAAATATTAAAGAAACAACTGATAAACATCGATTTTTGTGTGTCAAGTGATATGTTGAATGCAGCACGGGTTCAAATTAGATGTTTGTGAAGTCAAAATACCAAGTCTATAGTTTCATACAAATTAAAAACTCAAATTACAGATATTGAGAAGCTAGAATATAAAATAACAAGGTCTTATCTTTTCTATTTGCTAAGACATTGCTCACGTAATAAATCAAACAGTGGCACCCCACTCACATCCTTCCATTTTTGGAAACGCTCCCTTATAAACACTTCTATATATGACATGAATAACAAATCAAACTTATACCTAGTCTACTCCAAATTTCATATTTTTTTTAGACCCAAATACAGCTTAGTTACTATGTTTGATAAATTATAGTAGAATTCTATGGTATTGATATAGTAATTTATGATTTTTGAGTTATTCAAATATATATGTAAAACCTAAAAAAAATATTTTGTTTCATATCCTCCACATGCAAAATTTTTAAAGGCTTAGCAACCTATGTCAAGTGGCAACCGAGTACAAAGGTCGTAACTAGAAGAGATAATTGTTTGCTATACTTCTTTATTTACTGTTCTATGTTTTAGGAAAAAGAAGTTTAAAAATTTATTTCAATATAGCAATAATCTATATACATATATACAATGTATAATAACTGAAATGTAACTGTATTTTACAAAATACTAGTTGACTAGATTTTTATTATATAAAATGAGAATACATACCTAACTATTCATAAGTAAATACATTAAAATGCATTGCTAAAATTGCTTTCTTCTTAGCAGCAGCTCAGAATGCTTTAAACTGGACTTTAAGAGTTCAAGCAAAGTATGACTGATAGAGAGTTTATTCAAAAATACCATTTCCAAAAGCTCTATATACAACATTGTATTCTGGTTACAAAGTCATCTGTTAACATCACCAAGCAAAACCAATGTATTTCATTAATTTGCTTGTTTATGACAATCTTATGTTCTCACAACATAGTAAAACTCAAGTTGGTCAAGAATTAATAAATAGCATGAATACTACTTTTGTACTATCTCCACTGCAGTAAAAGGTACATAAGCTGTTAAGAAGGGGTGGATAGTTTCGCCTATGAAATTTAATTTGTAGATTTTTCCACTGAAGATACTCGTAAAAAATGTTAAAGTGTACTTGTGAATTATAAAAAACAATAAAGAGAAAAATTTAAAATGTTGAGATACATACAATCCTAGTCGTAAATCTATTTAACTATTTAGAGCTTACACAAGGAATTTAAAGTCAGACACTTGTACACATGACAAATTGTAGGCTCAAAGAATATAATGGCATACAAAAGTATAATACATAAAACTAGAAAATGTAAAATATGAACACTTCTGTATTCCTATAAACAACTAATTTGAATGGTTTTAAATACAGTATATTCATAATTCACAAATACTAACTTAACCAAGTATTTAAAAAAGAAAAAAGAAATTATTTTTATACCATCACAGATTACATTTTATAAACATTAATTTTTGTTGTAGAACAGTTCTTGAAAAACATTTAAAGAAAGCAACTTACTTTGTTGTTTTATTGATAGGCTGGTATTCTCTCATAAGATTCCAATAATCATTCAAGAAGACCACAGGATAGTACTTGCCAGTAGTTGGCTCAAAGTCAATAACTTAAAAAGAAATTAATAAATTAAAATTAGGAAAAAACAATGTGCAAAATTAAAGCTATTAAAAAACATGTACAAAGAATAGAGATAAATCTAAAATAATGATCATATGGCAACAAATGCAAACGGATCTATTCAACTTGTTTCTTTGTTCCCATAACAATTACAAATATTTATACAACTTTTACGTACCTCTAGATTGAATTCCAGTTATTTCACAAGTAAGTAATAAAACATGGATATTAGTAAAGGTTGAGAACTAACTGCTTAAAATAATTACCTTTTTTCATGCAGCAGGGTCAAAGCTTGCACATCATGTTTACAGTTACATTTAAAATTTAATTCACTTTATGATTAATCTTTGTCAACAAACTTGGCATAAATATGTAGATAATGTTAAAATATAAATCATAAACCAAGTTCTAATTTTTAATTTCTAAATGATTAGCTGTCACTCTGTGTATGTTGTGTCATTGTATCCCGATTGTTTTAATTCTTTTTAAGGCACATTGTGCTAGTATATTAAGAGTAACAATTACAAAAAACATCATTTTTTGGTAATTGTTATTTTTAATCCTGATTGTTTGTTTACACAAAACTCTTCTGCTGTAATTTACTTGTAAAGTCATAAAACTAAAGGAAAGCAAATATGAAAAGGTTATAAGCTGAGGTTCTTAAGATAAACAAGTTTTGATTTTCTGATACAATCTGCAGTCATTCTTGAAAGAAAAAAGTATTATTAATATTATTTCATATTTATCAAACTTTCATTTCCCTATAAGTTATTGATTTCATTAAGTTAGCATTAGGGTAGAGAAATTAAGATATAACACATAGTTTCACTGCAAAAACTTTTGATTTTCATTTACGAAGCCCTAGAGGTTATGCAAATGAAATATGAAACTAAGATGAAAATAATTACATTTATTCTTAGAAAGAAAAATCACCGTTTAACACAAATTGATTCTTAGTTGATTCGAAGAAGTCTAACTCTTTCAAAATGTGGTTGATATATTACACAAACCTTGTAACATCAAATTAACCATCACTTTCCATACTATAACTTTTAATATGGTATGTATATTGGCAAACCTTCAGTGAACATTACATGGCTTTTATACACATAAAAATCAGATTCCTTAACCAAATATTTTTATAAAAGATTTGTTGTCCATGAATATAATGAGTCAAAGTGTTGACTGCTCTGAGTGCAAAGTGATTTTCATGTTAAGATTAAAAATATTTTTCTTCATCTGAAAATGTTTAACTTTCATTTGTGTAACCTCTAAAATCTCATAAATAAATATTGAATTTTTTCTTTATCTTGTTTATTTCAGTTAAACTTTATATTTTATGTTATTTTCTCCACCCTAACTTTATGTGACTTGGTCAATTTGACCAACCTTGTAACCACCATAAAATAAATAAATAAATATAAATTACCCATTTTTCTTTTTAGAATGATTATAAATTGTTACAGGAAACTACACTTGTATATCCTAAATTATCTCAAATCTTGTAACAGTAT